ACAGATTGAGTACGGGGCGTTAAAAAAGAAGGTGAAATCATGACAACACTGAGCCTCCAAAAAAATACAATACAATCAAAAGCTTTGGAGTCGATCTGGTTGTAAACTAAGTAATTGGAATACTGAATTATTTTACTTTTGCCAGTTTCAAAGTGATATAACAATTAGTCATTTGAAGTGCGGAAGTTAATCGTTCTATGGTTTCGTTGATTGAAGAACGCAATGCTTGGAAAGCGTTATGAGACAATTTCATCACTATCTCGATAGAAATTCGTCATCACTAGAACATTTCGGGATATCACTGAACGAAGCGATAGTGGATCCTACCAGATAAACTTTGCTTTAAAAACTATTCGTACGTAAAGTGACACTGCGCGCAGTCAGTATATTTTAGAGTGGGAGTAAATAAACGATATTGGAGATCTTGACTAAAATTATTTGCGACTCGGTAGGGAGTAAAAACCAAAAGATAACGGCCGAACCAGATGTTGGAAATGGAAGCGGTTGGAAATGAAAATGCAAATGGATTTTTTAACAAGCGGAGCGTTCAATTAAAGCGTGTAAAAGTCAACGAAACGAATTAATGGAGATGTTTGCCAAGCGCCGCCGGGATTCGGCTTTATAACTTGTTGACGTCATAAAATAACGGCCATATTGTGTGAGTTAAATATTCATTGCTTTATCGGAAAAAGAGCGGGTTTTGTGGTCGCTTGCGATACAAATCTTCAGTTTTATATATTTTTTTCAGTATTCGATAGAACCGTTCGCTTCGTATATATTTTTTAAAAGAAAATACTCAAGTATACCAAACGTACTTTGCTGGAAAATTTAAAAACATAATTAACATTGTACATTTTTATTTTAGACGGAAAAATATTCTGCTGCAACCGGTATAGTTCGCCTAACGATATACCGTTTTTACGATATAATCCGATATTTAACTTTGATAATTTTTTATGACGGTCTAACCACAGGCCTATCTCGCTTGGGTTTCTCTTTGTAATCCTCAAGCAATAGATTGCAATTCCACAATGACGTTCCCGAACCGTACTTCGGAACATGTAATAAGATTTTGTATTGTTTTCCTGGGACAATATTTTATGTTAAATCCTTAATTTGGAAATCAGTTTAATTTCTCTAATGTGTTTTTAATATAACGTATCTAATGGGCAAATTCAACTTGAAATCGAGCTACCTCAAGTAGGTACTGATTTTGAAAAATTCATAAAATGCATCCTAATATCCTACTCTTGAAAATACGGCACAGTTCTTGTCGGCTAACATCTTAAATACGGCCCTGGCTTGTGGTACATGCTTTGCAACCGGCATGTCTCAAACTCATTCCGAAGTCAAAACTATTAAAGGTTGTAAAAACGATATATAGTTTATTTATATTATTATTATTAGACGAAAAAAACTTAAAGTCTGAGAGGATAATATTTGGTCACAGCCTGTCTAAAGAACTAAAAACCAGGATTTATTGTTCTTATTTTTAGGAATGTGCTTAAAGCACTTCAGCTTCAAACTCTGGTGTTTTGTACAGAAACATTAATGAAGACATTGCACAACCGAAAAGCTAGTATAACCTTTAGTCCATGACCCGCAAGGTACCAGACTTATCGTCCATTGAACATGTATAGGATATGGTAGGTAGAGAGCTGAGATAACGATCGCACGAAGAGTTGCATTGAATCGTTAATAACTCCGTTCGATACATTATTTTAAATGTTGTTGATTTTTATTCATATTAATCCCAACTGCTTCCCAAAATGTTAATAAAATATATATTAACATTTACTTGGTGTATATCACACAGTAAATTGCTAACAATGCTATTTACAAGCGATTTACATTGTTATTTCGGCAAGTGTTTTGGAAATCTAAAATTCTATTTCCCAAAAACCCTTTAAAATTTTTAAACGCCGGAGATTTGGGACTACAAAAATTTTTTCGTAGTGTTTCTTCAAAAATGTACCGAGTGGTCGGCTATTTATAAAGAGACTAAAACTTGAGTTCGCTTTTACGGCTTTCCTCTATCATACAGAGTGGGCGAGATATTTGGAAAAAAATAATATTAATATAACAAGCTCAAGTCTTGCTATTTCAATTTTCCTAATTGTGCAATTTCTTACCCTCATCGGAATACGTAGTAGTTAGTAGATTTGAATTCCATTCATTTTGCCAATATTTTATTGTGAACCACAGGAGCAGGATAAAAAAAATAATGGCCTCCTCTAGGCGGCTTCTTTGAAATACAGAGCCAAAGCGTCTTGTCAACTGCTCAAGCCACGAGATTGCAAAAGCAATCTTGTTTAGGCCACCTGTAATTTTTAGTCCCACTTACCATTAAAAATTTTAATTTAAATTTTAAACAATGGTTAAACCATGACTTAAAACGTTTCCTACTCGGACGTTGTTTATTTATGTATAAAACTTGTAGGAATTTTCGCGGGACCTTGCATTATAGTTCTCCCTAATACGGCGCTTTGTGTCGAAAAGGTTTACGCCCCGACGCTTAAACTTTATCTTTCACGGCGAACTATTTCGTCTTTGAGTTAAAGTGGGAGCAAATCGTTTACGTAATTTTAAACGAAATTCATTATCTCAAATTCCGGCGTTGACGCCATTGTTTCCGCAACGGGGGACAGTCGTGGAGAGAGCTTTTATCAAAACTAATCCGCTTTGCTGTTAGATTTGAAAGCTTCACTTGACTGTGCGCCTCTCTGAATATTTCTTTGATTTCAAAATAAATACGTATCGAAAGTTTCAAATTTCAACTTAGTTTTAATTAAATTTTAAAATTGCGTTCTAGGCACGAAACTTTTTTATTTCATTTATTTATTTATTTTTATTAAGAATTAATACTAAGGAAATGCTTTCATAAGACCTAACTAAAATGCGTCTAAAAAAGAAATGAAAGTGACTACACTGTCTGTCTCGCTGTTGATGAGCAACCAAACAATTTTCTTCTAGCTTCGTGACAAGCTTTCAGCTTGTTAATTTTTTCTGTAGTAAATTATTAGTTTTGTTATATTACCATGGTTTTCATTTAATATAAATATAAAATTTCCAGCATCGCATTGGATGAAATATTCGGCTCAAATTTAGACATTTTATTGCCAACATATGTCACTGGCCAACATAAAAAATAATGATTTAGTAATTAGTAATTTCCAGAACCTACGGGTTAATTATATTCAAGTTAATGAACTGCAATTAAGTTAATGGCATGGCTTCCCAGAACATATCTCGGTAGTCGATTAAAATAGACCATTTTGCGTAATTTAACTTGTGTCCAATTAACCACAACAAGATAAATCCTATCCTAGGAAAGTTTGCTAAACATTTACGGTTGATATCCTAATTTTATTAAATCTTCCATAAGTACCTGTACTGTGTGATAACAAACATCTAAATACTACTAAATTTTATTCCAAAAATTTGACAACTTTTCTGTGGGAAATAGTTACGTTTTAAGGGGAATTTAGATTATTTGATTTTATATTATCAAAATTATCAGATAAAGCTTTGAAATAAAATTTATTTCAGGACGATCCAATTTTTTGATGCGGTAATAACATTATTTTATGGTAAATTTTTGGATTTTTTTGTAAATTGAAATATAAAACTTTATTTATTTTCTAATTAAATTTGAGTACTTAGGTTTTTGAATTGAAATATTTTGCTTAATACTGTCCTATACATGTTTTTGAATTCTGTTTATCCTAAACACTGAAACTGAAACTTTAATTTGTGGAAGCCCTTTATGATGGATGGATGGATTGTCGCCAAAATGTAATTACGACCTTCATAGCTATTGTTACTGTAGAGGGCAACAGTAAACAAGATATGATAAGAAGGAAAGATATATTTTAAAAAAGATGAAACCAATATACATTAAATTTAAACCGTTAAAAATTAGTAGTAACGTAAAGAAAAAGGAGTTAACACTTTTCTGAAAAATACTAAAATTTCTTTAAATGTAATGTATATATATATTAAGATTTTCCTAAAAATCTCATTATCCTAACCCCAAAAAATGCAATTGGGCGTTCTTAAGAGCGTAATAAACTAGTCAACAACAGTTTATTTTAGGAACTTCCTCGTAGAAATTGCTACAAATATCTGATACATCTACATTTTTTTGATTTTATGCATACTTTTACTACTCGAGACTTAGTAATGAGCATCGTATCGTCTCATAAAAAGTTCCTCCTCTGCTATTCTTCTGCCTAATATTCGTTGATCAAGCTCGGATGTTTTGTTTATTTCGGAAAATATTTGAATTGTAGTGTCTGTTTGTCTGCATTAAACCAACAAAATATTAAATGGGCCGAAACGCGGCACCGCAATTAGCAATTATAATGGAACATTGTATTGTAAGAGGCTTACTTTTAAACGACCTTCTGCAGGAAGAAATCGCGATCGATAAAAAACGCGCACACCCAGTATTTAAATAATTATTATCTTCTTCCAAGATGTCGTCAACGATTATTCATTTATCCTCCTAAATCCTTTGTTGAAACGATGCTAAGGTTAAATCCGTTAGCAGATTGAATTTGGGTCGCTCGCTTATATTTTCTTGTTTTTTTTTAGAAACAGATAAGATATTATGAGTTAAAACGACGGCATATTGTTAGTCACCTTTTAGAACCTTTTAGAACCTGAAAATAAGCAAATTTCAACACTTCAAATGATTTCAACTCAACTTTCGCATAAGTATCGGATTAAAATTAAATTGTTATGTATGCTATTTTAGGTAAAATTAATGGCTAAGAAGTTTTTAAAAGTGTTGCTTATTGTTATTATTATTATTAACCATAAATTTTCTATAACTCATATCTCCCATTAGATCGAAATCTTTTGGAAACACTTCAATTTGCTTATTCATTAATTCAGTATTAAATAACAAATATATTTTTGTTGTAAAATATGTAGTATAAAATCGAATATTGTTTTACGAAGCAAATATCATATACTAATTTGATTTTTTATTTCAGTTATTTCCATTCTTGAGCAGTAAAAGGTAAGGCCTATGTAGTTTTATTAGTAGAGGCAGCTAATACCCGGATAGGGGTACCATAATCATCATTAATTAAATAGCTTGTATAGGCCGAACGAAAAGAAAATAACGTTGCTAAAACAGAGTTTCCTTGCACCTTGGACATGCAAGAGAGTCGTCAAATGAATACTAATGGTTAGTCTGGGTCACTATAAAAAAAATGTATGAACATATTTAAACTAAATTTATATAAAAAAAAACACGCCTTATTTATTTATTAAAATATCGTTACAGTTTCAGAAATCCCAAATTGGGTACAAGCGTTTAATTATAAATACATAAATACATAGATAATAATAATAAATAAAAGTTGTGGGAAAACACTCTAAAAAATTAAAATAAAATTCGTGCAAGCACATTTGCAAGGAGATATACTACGGGTATTGCCATTTCCTATTGCAACAGTTTCGGAATGTCACCGCTTTAAATTGAATTTATTTCTTTAATATAGCCTATGAGATAGATTTCAATGAAACAATGTTTAATAGGGTTAAGTTAAGTAATTCAATGAAATAGCGATCCTCTTTGAAAAGGGTTCAGCGATGTTCTATAATACCAACCTATAGGTAAAGAAAATCAGATAGATATCCTTATGCTTAATAGATGGACATTTCACATTATACAATAGATTTAAAAAAGAAATATACTAACAGAAATAATTTTTGTAGTGAGTTGGTTGCAAGACTAATGAATTCTTATGGGATAATGTTAAGTTATGAAGGTATGTTTTGCACAGTCAAAGAAAGAATAGCCATACGAGGTGTGTTGACAAAGTAAGGTGATTTTTGTAATTGGACGGACTCCGTACATTCGATCTTTGTACCTAACACATAACATAAAACACTTTTAGTCAGTTTTGCATGTTTACTTTTTTTGTGAGACAGAAGCGGCGATTTTCTGCTGTCAAAAAAAATTGCAACAAATAATTTGCATAAAAATTTGTGTAAAAAATGGAATACAGTGCTGCAAAATATTTAAAATGTTGACACCCGCATATGATGACTTTATCTTGAGCAAAAAAAATGTTTATAAATTTTGCAAACTATTCCAAGATGGTCTAGAAAACGCCGATGATGAACCTCGCTCTGGACGCCCCAGCAAGTCAATAACTGATAAAAGCGTTGAAGAAGTGAAACAAATGATGTTGAAAAATTTTTTCCGAAGTTTTGGACATGAAACGTGTAGCAGCAAAATTTGTTCCCAAAAATTTTGAACAAAAGGACTGTCGAAGAAGCATCGCTCAAGAGCTGTTAAACGACGTCAATGATGATCCTGATATGCTCGAAACCAAAGCCCAGTCGTCCCAGAACCGAGAATCGCCAAGATCAAGAGTTCTTACCACAAGGTCGTACGGTCAATACTTTGAAGTTACGCGCCGTTTGCGAGAAGCATTACGAAGAAAGCGTCCGGAATTATTGAAAAACAATGCATGTACTTTGCATCACGATAAAGCATCGTTGCTTGTGTCTAACTTTTTGGCCAAAAACAAAATCTCAATCATGACTGAGCCCACCATATTCATCAGATATGACCCGCTGCGACTTTTTCATGTTCCCAAAACTCAACAAACCCATGAACGGAAGGACGTTTGGAACGATCGAGGAGATCTTAAAGGCTATATCACAAAGTGTTTACCAGTAGTGCTTCGAGGATTGGAAAGAACGTTGCCACAAGTGGATTCCATTTGGGGGGTTACTATATTTAAAACACACACCTCGTATTCAGTTTAGATCTTTACAAGAATGGGTTTATTTGTACAATTGTTTAGTTGTAATCATTTTGAATTTGCGATATCCAGTACTGATTCTGATTTTCCTACTACAAAATTAACTTCCGATATATATTCAAAAGTTTTGTAACCTCTTGTAACTTAGTTACTCAAAAATATCTATTACTAAATGAAAGAGATAGTTATAGTTATCAACCATCATAGCTTTTTCTGTGCGTTGGTGTATGAATGGGATCTGTTGCGTCCATGGTTAACAAACATGCTCTTGTACTATACCATCTAGCTCATATTTAGCTTGAGGTTTATGTATTTGTAGTAAAAAACCAATTCATATCCTTATTTTAGATCTTTCAGATTAAAACTACCGTTAACACATTTTATTGATTTATAGATTTTTAGGTCATTTGTTTAAGAATTCGAACAAAAACAAACCCTACCTTAAGTTCCTAATGAGATGATTACAGCACTACATAATTATCATTATAGTTGAGCCCTGCACTGAAACGTGTTCAGATCGATTTTTATTGTAACCGTCAAACCATCTCCGATATCAGCCAAGCGATATTTTTATTACTGTATAATTATGTTTTCGCCATTGTCGTCTCGGATGGATATCCCGCAATTATTTTTTTATGTTGGCAGCAGGCTTTCACTGCAAACATATTTTGTCATACGTCGCGAACATCTGGAATCACAATACGAACTTAAAGGTAATCAGAATACAAAGATGTCCCTTGACACAATTGCACAATAACCATCAATCGCGATGACCTACCAAAGTTTTATATATGTGCCTGACGAACGCATGAAACAGATGCAAAATGCAATGTAGAACAAGGTGGGACAATGGCGGAGAGAAGATCATGAGGAGACTATTAAAAATAGTTTACGTTAATTTTCGATTTTATATAGAATCGTGTTACCACTCAAATTGGTCTTAATCATTTGATAAAAAAACGTACATTTTTAACGCTTTGCCATTGTTTTGGTTCTTTCTGCTAACTAAAGGTGTGATTCAGTAAAACTGTAATTGTGTTTTTCCAAATCAATAGTTTCTAATACTAGTAAGGGTCAATAAAGGTAAATAAATTTTTTCAGTAGAAAACCGATAATTTGCTTTTTTGAACAATATTTGTTTGTGAATTTCTCTTTGGATTTGAAAGATTTCGTTTCCTATACTTAAGCCACTGGTTTGTGAGTGATTTTAGCCACTGTATTTTGGCGTTTTTCAATTCTCTTTTTTTATCATTTTATATTCTCCTCGAAAATAGGAGTTTTGTTAATTCGCATTTATGAGTTTTAAATTTGGATAGGATGTTGAAATTAGAAGAAACTGCGAGATTTCTTAAATGTAAGGGTGTTATCGTTTTGAATAGCTTAAATGACAATACTAAAAATAAATAGTTGTAATGTTGTAATGTTGTAAAGTTTTCTAATTTTAGCAACATTCTTACACTGCTTGAATCGTTTTAATTCATTCCATTTCGAATATATGCCGTATAATCGGTATATTCATTTAATTGGATTATTTAATCTAACCCTGAGCAAGATTATTTTTGACATGGATCATCGATGTACCAATTTGCTTGTATTTCGTTATCTGCTTTACGAAAAAATCTGGAAAATGTTTGTTCACTTAAATTTACTCTATATTTAGTTCATTTCTGTACACATTGGAGCCCCTCTGGTAACTGAGGTGTTCGGTAAAAATTTCAATTGGTATTTTGTTATTAATATTATTATGGAAAACAAGGACTGGCATCATTCTGAAACGTATAAGATGTTTTCCAAAGAATTATTTGTTGAAAGCTGTCACACACAAGAGGAATATAAGGATATTAGAGTATGAGGACATTTAACTCCTCAAATTTTACGATAGTAAGTCTTTGAAGCAATGATCTATTTGGTATGTTTACAAACCTGTATCGTCAAAAGCGACGCAACTTTATAATGAGAACTATTGCACAATCCAATATGATATGATCTAAGCATGATACAATCTCGGAATGTGCATAAACACACGGAGTTTTAAGGTCAGGTTTGCTTATGAATATTAAGATCGCAATTACCCGGTTTCATATCGGGCGACTTAAAAACCTTAAGAAATAGTTATTTTCAGCGAAAACTTGCTTTGCTGTGCTGACACGATTGTATTGCTTGATAATGAGTAACATGTGTTAAGGGCGATTAGCCAAGCAGCATTTTTAAATGATTTGAAACGATTTGAATCGGAGTCTTATTAACCATTGTGTTTCAGCGATAAGCACGCCACTCGGAATTAATGGCATATTGTTATGTTATATTTAAGATGTAGCAACGAATCACACAAAACATTACAAAAACAAATCTTTTACTTACATTTTTTTATAGACTTTAATAATGTTTGGTTAAAAATTTCACAAAGTATCTACTTTAATCAATTTAGAGGCTGTGAGTTCGTTTATTTTTAAAACAATGTAAACGACCTTTAAACACTTTTAAAAAAACTGAAAAAGTATACTAATATCAAGCTAACAATATAATTTTAGAGGTTTTGAGATATTTCATTTGCGTACAAATTTAAATTGCAAATATAAACTTTACACTTATTCGCATAATTTAATATCAAGATCCAATTCAGTTTTCTTTATTCCCTTACTTGCTAGAGTCTTCGGCTTTAATTCCAATTACGGCCGGGGATTGTTTTTCTCGAATTTTTAGAGCTTTAGAATTATGCACCCTTTTGGTAGATCTAAAAGTAATTTAGCGTGGCTGACATTAATTCAGGTGTCCCGCCGTCAAGAGAGCTTTTTATGTGATGTTTGGTCGTTCAAAATCAACTTTCCAACATTCTTAGACTGTTTGAATGGTTTTAATTCATTCCATTTCGAATATACGCTTAAACTCTTGCCGTATAATCGGTATATTCATTTAATCGGTTTATTTAAACTAACCCTGAGCAAGATTATTTTTGACATGGATCATCGATGTACCAATTTGCTTGTACTTCGTTATCTGTTTTACGAAAAAATCTAGAAAATGTTAGTTCACTTATATTTACCCTATATTTAGTTCATTTCTGTACACATTGGAGCTCCTATGGCAACTGAGGTGTTCGGTAATTATATCTCAGAAACTAATTATCACAGGATTTGAACAAAAGTTCCATTCGGTTCGCAATACTAGCTACGATATAAAAAAATGTATTTTTGTAGAAATTGCCATTGAAAATGTTTATCCCTTTGACTAAGCACTT